CCACAATGATAATATTAATTAATCTATAAGCACACATAAATTAACGAAAATTCATTAACGTGAATTAAGTGTTAAAAAAAAAAAAAAAACTAATGACGTGAATTCATTAACGCAAACGTGGACAATCACAAACTGATGAATTGGATGCATGAATAAATAATATTATTATTAAAGGAAACCATGACACACGCAGACAAAAAAAATCAAACCACCAATTAACAAACATGTGTGCCATCAATAAAATGATGATTTGATTATGCATGAGTCAAAAGCAAATTGAAAAAGAAAACTTAAATGAATAAGGCGGCAGAATAAATGAAAAGAGGGATTTGATTCATATGCATATGCAATTTGTCTGATTCCAGGAACCAGGGGTGATTCTGTGATTGTTGGGACTCGAGGCGAAGTCCATAAATTAGGCCTCCTAAAATTAACGTAAATGCAAAATTCAACAGTGTATTTTATAATCTATTGCCAACTTAAAACTGAACATTAAAATAACAAATAAATATATTATACAAAAGATTTATATTATAAAATAACAAAACAACAATGTTTCAAACAATTAGGTAAGTACCATTTGCCTTGCTGTTTTAAAGGCAAAAACATTAATCAAATCTGAATAATTTAGCTACTCAACCATTTGTTTCTTTATTGATGACATGGTCAATTCATTCAATCGTCTCACAATTAGAGTTCTCAATATAGTTACTACATGCAGCTGTGCAATTATTGATCCTATAATAACCAATCATATAAGTCGACAAGGTTTCAAACATTTTTAATATATTCAATAACAAGTTAGGGCAAATCATTACTTACCTGAGAAGTAGAATTTTGATGAACATTATGTAATCACTCCTTTGAGAATTTCACTCTCACAACTCACAAGCAATCAAATCTAAAATAAAAATTTAACATCAAACACCAATACAAATATATAATTTTACTGCATTAATCTATTCATCATAAATTCAAAATCCTATTGTAAATTGCAATTTCATCATAAATCCTATGAAATCAGAAAATCAATAAGCAATAATCATCTGAGTGAATAATATAAAATCGCGATAGAAAAAAATATCTGAGTGAACAATATTAAATCATGATTACTAGTGCACGTAATCAAACTATTTAGATATGTGGTCCAACCATAAACACAGCCATTTTAGAGAATACAATACAACACATTGGGGTTTCAATTTTGTGATACAATAGCCAGGTTTTAATATCATATCAGCTCGTTATACTTCCGTCAAAATGCCCCAACGCATGTAATCACTAGTTCATCTCAACCTTTTTAACCCTATTATCCTATGAATCCTATTAAGATGCTTCTCGACAACTATATGTAAGAATATAACTACATTTCCTTTGCCCCTTGGGGCAAAGCCCAGTGGTGCAAATGACAGGAGTGAAGTTATCTCATGTCATGCTGACAATCGCAATGTGAGGGTTCAATTCATGAGACATGGAATTAGGCTCTTTGTAGGCATAATGTACATGCATCTCTTGTTTCCTGACCTGTTGGGGCACATTCCGCAATTTACCTCTCTTACAAAGTTTTAGGGGTGGGGCCGTAGGGGCCCTCGAGGTTGGGGTTCAACCTTTATAACTGCATTTCCTTTTCTCAAAAAATATTCCATAAGAACATCAATGCATTTTCTTTTGTGCTCTAGGTATCAACAACTTTTATTCAAGAAAATGGCTTTAAAAGTCAGAAATTTTAAATTCTCACCACATTCAATGAGTTTTACAATAATCAAATTGATTAAAATCTTTATATGAAGTCTCTGCAACAAGCAAATTCTTCTAACAAATTAAGAAGATTCAATAACCTCTAAATCCCCACAAAGCTAGTAATTTTTTCAATGGTAGACAAAAAAAAAAGACAAACTTTCAAACAAATAAAAGCAATGAGAAAATACCAATAATAGTACAAGAATAATTGTAAAATATGACACTCACGTGATTTGATATGAAAATTTGCACAGGCCCTACTTCGACAAAAAAACCCATCTTCTCTAAGCTCCAAAGTCTCATAGTGATTGGGACTATTTTTATAAACTTATTAAACACTTTGCCAGGAGACGAAGAACTTAATTTTCAATTTCTTTAAAGTTTAGTTCTGAGCTCTTGGATTTTATTAAACATGACTAAGGTTTATTCTTTTCTTAGATATGTTAGATTATCCAACAAAATATTGAGACATTCCATATTTTGTCAAATGTCCCGATATTCATCAGAATCAACAAGCTTTTACCGTCTTAATATCTAATTTCCAATGCATCATAAACTACATATAAATTTGAGTGAAGAAAAAAATTATCTGACCTTGTTAGCTACTGCCTGTAGATTGTGATGGAGAAGAAAGAAGAGGAGAAGAGGAGAAGAGGAGGAGAAGATAGCCACTAAAGAGAAGAAGAGAAAAAAACCCAATTCAAATGATTAAAAAAAAAAAAAAAAACTAATTTTCCTTTTACTTCATTAAAAAAATAAAAAATTGGGCCAAATGAGGCGCCCTCTTATTTTGGGCTTCAAGCCTAGGCCTCATTGGCCTCGACCGAGTGTGCCAGGAACTATGGCATGATTGTGGTAGCTGAAAAAAGAAAAGGACACTTTAATGCTTTAAAAAAATTGATAGTGATGGATGATCAGGAGCTGCTAAAGTGTTAATTGCATATGTATATTTATGGAAAAAAAATCACATGTTGCCAAATTAAATTTTGTACGTGTAGTAGATAATTATGCTTAATATATATATTATAAGAAAAGGAAACTTAAATGCTTTAAAAAAATTGTTAGTGATGGATGATCAGGAGCTGCTAACGTGTTAATTGCATATGTATATTTATGGAAAAAAATCACATGTTGCCAAATTAATTTTGGTACATTTAGTATATTTACACACACACATGCTAGACTTTGAAGAATTAAGTTTTCGTGCTAATAACGTGTTATGAAAAGAGAGAAGAAGTGAAGCGAGAATAAAAGTCAATAAACGTATGTGTATTTTAGTAAGATCCAAATTCTTATATTTAATGGGAAGAATCAGGAATTTACTAATAAACTTACTATTTACAATAGTTATTCAGTAATGGAAAATTAAAAGCAGGGCAATCAATCCAAGAATTATGCTACTTGTACAAGCTAGCTTGGTTTACAAAGCATGTGTTGGCAAACATTTAGGCCAATTATTTGGAAAATAGTTTTTCAAATCAATGGAAATTAGATTTTGCCAACACTTAGTGCTTGTTTGGTAGAGATTTTGATAATTGATTTTTTGATTGTTAGAGATAAAGTGAGTCTTATCTGTGAGAGAATAATTCAAAAAATGACGGCTGAAATAGTGAAATAACGATAAAAAAAATTGATTTTAATTGGCTTAAAATCTAAACCAAACAAGCTCTTAGTTTGTAAACTAACTTTGTAATTAATTCATTAATATAATCCTTGAGAAAGCCTTCCTGACCCCATATATCCAGAATCCGAATCCGACCAGCCACCTTGGTTCTATAGGGGTGTTTGGTAGGGCTTTTAAGCTAATTAAAATCAATTTTTTAACCGTTATTTTACTATTTCAGCCGTCATTTTTGAATTTGTCTCTCACAGGTAGGACCCACTTTTACCTCTAGAAGACAAAAAATCAATTCTTAAAATTCATACCAAACACCCTCTATGTCTCTTTAGTCTCTCATGTCCACTCTCCTCTTCTGTATCTTCACAAGTTTTCTTGTGTTTTCTATCACATTTTTCGATCAGCCTTTTCTGTGATTCGACTAGTTTGTTGTCATCATTGGGCGCTTGTACTTTCTCGAATTCCGGCAGACTGATTAGAATTCCGGGGAGTAATTGTAGTGGCGGGTTCTTTTTGAATGAAAGAAAAATATACGAGTTTTTTCCTTTATTCTATTCCCATTTTTGTGTGTTGAAGGCCGTTTTTGGTTCGAGGCTTCGAACAATGATATTATTTGTCATTAACAGAGATTATTATCAATTAATTGGCAATGAACTCCTAATTCATTTATTCAGATGCACACTAATTCATCTATTCGGATGATGATGATGATGATCGCTACCAACGATAAATATCATTATATGATTTTCTGTTGTTACAGAAAAGATTGCAAGCAGCCATTTAGCGAAGATTGCCAATTGAGAGTCAAGGAGGCGTTTGTCGACGTAAATATCTGTACAACATTAAACAGTATTTAAAGGATCGCCTGCAGATGACAGAAGAAGAAGCAACAATAAACTGTATTTAGAGGGAAAATGTTCACTGTTTGTAATGAAATTTGTAATTACCACCACCAATAATAATAATAATAATAATAATAATAATAAAACCTTCAAATGCAAGAGAGGAATCAAACTTTGAGAATAATCATATTCATAAACACAAAAATGCTTCTATTGCCTGATTATACAGGAAACTCCCAACTTATTTCACTTCATTACGATACAAGAACAAATTACATGATTATACAGTTTAAACGTGTCTGAGTTCATCGATCAACATATCCATTGTCCTATTACTGAAGGGGTGGGGGTTCTGTGCTATCTCGAAGCTAAAACTCACATTTGATGCATAACCAAAATCCTGTACAGAGATGGTGAATCAAGTCGAAAGAAAGTCTAGTTATATGTTTAAGCTCTTGGATAGCGAGAGTGTCCTTTCTTCCTCAAAAACTCGGGGATCTCCACAGAGCCGCCATCCAATGAGGATGCAGGTCGCCTATTGATTCCAAAGCTGTTTTCCTTCTGTGTCAGCTGATTTGCCTGCATTTCAACCATTGACCAAGGAACATCACAAAAAGATTTTGAATGGATGTGGCTGATGCAAGTGGGGACAAAGAAAGTGATGGACATAGATGAAGAAAAAGACGAGTGCACAAAGCACATTGAGAGAGAGAGAGAGAGAGAGAGACCTGCCGGGATTTTCCATCATTTTCCTCTTGTCGTTTAAATCCAGTGGCAATCAAAGTTATACTCACCTGGATCAAACCAAACCAATCGATCAAAGTCCCACAAACATGATTGTTTCAAGTTATTAACCAAAAGACTGTCAAATTTCATACTTGATAACCCCAAACCAAACCCACCCACCATTATGATAACGGAAAAATACAGAAGGGGATAGAAGAAAAATAAGTTCCTTGATGAGTTATTTGGTTTTTACTTGTCCAGTTAGCATTATTTCTTATGCATTTGCTTAAAAAAAAAGAAAAAAAAAAAAATTCCAGCTGAAACAGCCACCATCTTCAAATTGAATATTTTAAGACCTCATTGAGGTTACAGTCATCTAGCTTAACACATTAAAGTTTATAATTCTACACAAATGTCTGCAATAGATGTCTAATATTAAATTTGGCATCTCAAAGCACAGATCAGCTATCTGTTAGGGTAAATACAACCAATTCTGCTACTCATGCTTTAATATAATTTAGTACAAAAAGTCAACGTGCAAGTATAGTATAAATATATTTCAAACAGTAAGTACAGCATGATTACGATAAATTAAACCTCAACTTAAGTACAGCATGATTATGATAAATTAAACCTCAACTTACTTTTGACAAGCTCAGCTTCTTCTGCACAAACATTTGAAGCTCTTGATAGTAAAAAAGTTACATCCAATCATAACTTCTGATCACTAAATCTCCCCTTCATAAGTCAAATTAAAGAGGAAAAGCATGGAAAATCATGGATGGCAATGCCCCCAAGTTTCAAAAAGTAAATGTTTCCTTCAAAGGGAAAAGTCACAATTTAATTTATCATAAGAATTCAAGTTTTTTTATGTTTATTATTCCTGCTAGGTCAATATTCAAATTATCCAAAGTTCCCCACCCCATCCTCTAGCTTCCCCCAAGTCATGTTGCCCTCATGCTGGATTTAACACTGGTTACCATGGAAAAATTACAAGAGAGAGAAAAGAATGCAGATTCCATCAGCATAAACTGGTGATCTGCCTTTTCTAGCACCACAGCTAACAGATTTTGCAGTACATTTAGCATGCATCTCCCTACTCCATTCCTATAAGTGCATAGACAGTTGAATAGGGTCTCGAAAGTGATATGTGAAAAAGCAGGTTCAACTGCACGTTTTAACAGATGATAACTTACTTGCCCACTTATTGATGGATCTATTACAGCACCAAATATCAGGTTAGCACTCGGATCCACGAGATCATAGATAACCTCCGCTGCAGCATTTACCTATCACTCCATATAAAAAAGAGAGTATGTAAATGATGATAAGAAATATGTTAGGTACCTACTAAATTCATAGAAAATCATCTATTTGAAATAAGCATATTTACTTATGTAGTGCAACATGGACACACCAGTAAAATGTCATAAACCGCTGAAGATGAATAATATTCATTTCCTTCTATATATACTAACTGATGCACAATTTAGGAAGTTTTGAGGATGCTAAGTAATATTTGATGGATTACGTTTTATTGGCATTTAAATCACATCACATTATGGTAGGGTAACATGAAATTTAATGAATCTTCCACTTACTAGATAGGCCTATTTTGGGTAAATCTGAATTATAATTAAGAAATAGAAATAGGATTTTCAGAGTAAGGGATAAACTACAGAGATTCAAATCTGGATAGTACTATCACAACTTCACATAAGGCGGAGTTTGTTTTGTTTGGGGTGATAGCGATAGATACATCAACCTATCTTTATTCTACAGAATTGTACATGAGAAGTTCATTTAATGGGCTCCTTGTTAAATCTCATTATCTCGTATAAATGCTTAAACTTCATTTCCATAATTTTCAGATTGTGACCAGTTTTCTAACTATACATGTGACAATTAGGTCTCCACCTTTTCTCCTGAGCTTCACCATTTCACTAATCATACGGATCAAAGTAGAAATGAAAAGATAGATGGATACAAGACGTAAAATAGGGGTTAACTGCTTCCACATACAATACAACACCAAAGTCCAGGCATATATAATAATTGGTGTTTCATGCTCTCGGTGTAGAACAAGCATTACTATGAGTAAGATACTCTTGGGAAACTAGCGGTACATGTTTATGAGACTTCTGTGGCTCTACCCTTAATATCAATTGTCACTAGCAGGGGGTTGCAAAATTTTGTGTAATTAGAGTTGTCGTCTTGTGCATTTAATACAAGGGAAGTTGTCTAACTTCGTTATTCACACTTCTTTAACAGCATTTATAATAACTTAGTCATAGTCACAAATGTGTTGCATGTTACTTTTAAATTTTGAGTGAAGTACTGTAAAAATGTTATTTTTAGATGTTGGATCGATATAAAAAAGATGGTTATATTGTATATATAAATAAATGGGTCGACCGACCTTAGAGTCAAATTCTTTAGTGTAATTTAAATGTTATAGGGTACGTCTACTCATGTATTAGGTTCACCCTAATATTTCCCCATATATGAAGAAAATTAAGGCGAGCCTCTTATCTTGGTGTAGAGAGAGCAGAAAAGAGTGTGAGTATGATACAACACACTATAATTTTTCTTTAGTACATTGAAATCATGTAGTGGAATCAAGAAGTGGACAAGCACTTGCTTGAGAGGGAACCACTCTAAATTCTGTGTTTTACTTGCTTTCATTTTGTCATTAATTGCTCTCAGTAGTATGAAATAAACATTTCATACATAACAATGATACACATATCAGCATAATTATATATCGACTAATAAATAATCAATGCCCAATGTACTTTCTAACAGTTGCAAGTAGTTCCACTTTATATAAAACTCTGTTTGTACTTTTCTTCAAGAGACTAGACAGTAGACGCCATTGTAATCACAATATAGAGATACTTTTCATATAAAATGTATCATAATCTTAAGATAAATTTTACCCATTAAATCTATATTAACTAAATGCCTATATATAATATATGAACATACATCGAGACTTCACATTTGATTCTTAAATAGTTCATATGTTTAATTCTAATAGGAGAACTAACTCATGGAAGATTAATTTAAATCCTTGACCGTATATGAAGTTAATGACTTAGTAACAGAAGCGAAAATAAGTATCTTAAGCTCGCTATAAGATCCGATAGTCAATATTTCAAAACTAGTGGTAAAATACACAAACTAAAAATTGTAATGAACAAGAGTTTGGTGTACTTCCAAAAAACTCTTGTTCAATTTATGGCAAATAACAGGAAAGATTGTGCACTATCATTCTGAAAATAACATGATATTTAGGAGGTCTAGCATGAATTATTTGACTAATTTGGATTTAATATCAGAGTTACCATTTTCTGAATTTCATTTGAGGAAAAAAATATTAAAAGACATATGAATTCAGTTAGACAATAAATGAAAACACCATTCCTTAAGCCAAGATCTTGGTAACTATGATAAAAATAATAATATCTATGAAAAATGAGGGCAGCAAAAACTACCTCAAACAAGGTTAAATCGCTGCCACCAGTTATATTCCACACAATTCCTGTGGCCCTCTCTATCCCAATATCCAGTAAAGGAGATTGAATGGCATTTAACGCAGCGTCTCTAGCCCTGGTCTTTCCTGCGTGATGCAAGATGACAATGCTGTTCACGATAAGATTCAAAATTACAAACACCTTATAAAAAGTCACAAGATGCAGCGAGTGTGACGCATAATGAACCAAATTTCTTTTTTCAGTACAAGTAAATAATTTTTAAGTTTGATTCGTTATAGAAAATTATACATGGGACAGAATGGAGTTAACTGAAATTTGGCGCAGCAGTTTGCCGAGTGCTGATTTATTCTTTTTATATCACTTACTCAACAAAAGGATATAATTTCTAATTTTATAATATCTTTTTTCTCGTTATATGTTTGCATCAATAAATTTGTTATACATATCCAATTCTAAGAAAATAATTTTCTAATGAAAGACAAGACTGTAGGACAAAAACTACAGAATTTACAAGATTCCCCATGGCAGTTATTATCTGTATTCTCTGTAAAAGACTGGAATTCGGGCATATTGCTAATGATGGCAGTACTCAACTAATGACGTTCATGCTCAAGCACCACATATTCTTGGACAGCCGTAAAGATGTTAGAAAGACTTAGCCCCCGTTTGGTACCCATTTTTTCCAAAATGCATTTTTCTCTCTCTTCTTTTCAACCACACATTCTTTATTAAAATAATATTACACATAAATAAAAAACGTTTCCTTATTTTTCAACCACACACTTTCTATCAAGTTACTATTCTAAAATGCATTTTTACATAAAAATGGCTCTCAAACACCCCCTTAGTAGAAATCAGTCCACTCTTTGTCCATTTCCATGTTAATTTATTGTATCACTTGATATGTCCAGTCCCACATTCTGCAATATGGCAAGCAATATTTTACAGGCCATTTCCCTATCTCACAGGGCCTTTTAAACTGTAAGTGCGATACCAACTGATCATAGACAAATTGCACACCTCATCCACAGCAGCATTCTAGTTGGCAGCAATGTTTCAGTCAAAATCTGAAATAAGGGTCATCTTACCACATAACAAGTCTAGCAAGATCTCAATCTATGACCATATCAGAACAAAACTGGAGAGTTTTAAGGAACTAACAGTTCTATTGTGCTGTTACAACCTCTCTCTTAAGCCCACAGGTTCGCTCCAATGATGGTAATCAATTACCATCCTCACTGGACATTAAGCCCATGTGTTGAAAACGAGTTTTGTAATAGTGATTTTTTTGAGAATATGTAGTTAAAAAATAAGGAAAAGTTTTGGATTTACAAGAAAAATTATTTTATTGGGACAATACGAGGTTGAAAATGAGTTTTTTTAAGAAAAATGGAGCTCAAGTAGGGGATAATTGTTCTTCATCTAAGATAGTTAAAACCCAGTCATACAAATGGTATTAGAACCAAGGCTAAGGGTTCAAGCCACAAGAACCCAACCCAATCATAAAAATGGTATTCAAAAGTTTTTTTTTTTTTTTTTTTTTTGGGACAAAAATGGGACTCAACCAAGGGCTCTATTTTCGTATGTCTATGATTTTTACGTTTTAATCCATTTACAAATAGATTGAAGAATTTTTAATAATCTTTAATTATATATTAATAAATGATCTTGCTATTACAATAGTGGACTATCGACGATTAACGGTCAATGGTTGCCCTAGCTGACCTCTAATCCTTGATCCGCCACTGTTCACCAAGCCAACCAAAGCATTCGTGCATCACCGAAACCAGGAGCAATCGAAATTTTAAAGACGTGTAAAGTTTGTCAAAAGAAATACTATATTTAAAAGACTTGTGAAACCTTAACTAAACTGTTTCAATTGTAAGTATAATTTTTTTTAAAGATAAAATTGTATCTTAGTTTAATTCCTGCACTCTAATTTGCACATGATAGACCTTCTTTAGTTGCCTACATGTTTTGCTGATCTCAAGCGTAGAGGGGCACCCTAGGCTCCTTATTACTGAAGAACAAAATGAGAGCAGCATAGAAAGGCACAAAGGCAAAAAATTGATAGCTTTATTGAAAAATGTGGGCCTTCTGAGTTCTTTTTATTCGAATTACTAATTTTGCTTTAATTTCTCATGTGGTGTTGATAATTGAGAAATGGAGTCAATCCTTATTTTCCTCAAAATAACAGTAAAATTAGATAATATTAGCTGAAATATACAAAATGTTGCTAAATTTCGTTTGCTTATACAGTAATGCAGTGAGTTTTTCTACTGAACATAATTGTGTTTCACTGTGATGAAGCATGCACTTCACTTCGCACCAAAGCACCATGACGAATTGGTGCTTCAGTGCACTTTTTTATTTAGTAACCATGACATATCTAGAGGTAAAAAATTTCTAGTTCACTATGCACCATCACCAAAATATGAAGGTAATCGACGAAACAGTTTCACCTAAGTACACTGTAATTTCTAGTACCCAAAAATGCCAAAACACCTTTTATCTCGAGTGGAGACTGTGACATAAAAGGAGGAAGAAAGCGCAAAGACATCGCATGATGCAAACAGGAACAATTTGTCAGAAATTCTAATCAAGACACAAATCCAGCAACTTTATCTGTCCAAGTGGTTTTATAACTATGCAATACATATTTATAAAATGTCCTGAAATGTAGAACTCCGCTTCATAAAAATCATTCCGAGGATGTAGAATGTATAAAACAATGAAGGAAATGCTGGATGATCGTGTTACTTGTCCAAGAGGAGCCAAAATAGGACATAAAATCTAAAGCAAACAGCAACCATGAGAAGGAGACTTGTCATCCACAGTTTATACACCGAAGGGATAAAAGTTTTAAAGAGCTGGAATGAGGACCATAACAAAAGCCAAGTGATGCAAAAGCTCTTAACTCGCTGAATGACATTGATAAAAATTTAAAAAGGAACTGTTTAAAGCTAGTCAAACAAGAAACACAAAACCAAATGGCTTACTGGAATTACCTGTTGCGGTCCCTATCCCCATCAATGAAGAACCAGCATTTGCCATAATAGCTCGCACATCTGCAAAATCTACATTCACTAGCCCAGGAATCTGCAAAGGATGCAACTTTCAACAATTAGTAACCAGAATCCCAATGACTGTCTCAGATAATTAGAAAGGCATTACAGCTATTCTTTAGAATAATATCAAATTGGAAGCTTGCATGTCATAAAACATCATACGAGCACATGTAAGCACATGCAAAAAAAATTCACACAGGTACGCACACCACCTCAGTATCTGATTCAAGAATTAAGTTCCAAATAAACATGCCATAAAATTGCCCAACTCATAATCATGCATTTTCCAGCATCATTGCTCAATTATTGGTTCATTATCAAACTGATGAATCTTATACTGGCCATGTGAATGTGTTGGACAAAGAGACTAAGCCCCTTTTGGTTTTGCTAAAAGTTAGATTTTTAGTAGAATATGATAAAGGTTGATGGTGTGGTTTAAAAGTTGTGGATCTCATGAAATGTATGATTAAAGTAAATTGTTGACTTTGACTTTAGATTTTTATCAATATTTTTAGCTAAACCAAACTAAACCAAGCAAGGGCTAAATGTAAACATTCAGAATTTATACATTCAAAATTTATTTGCATGATCGTTAAATATCTATCCCAGAGTTTCACCCAAGGAAAGGAAAGCCCGTTAAGAAAGAATAAAACTTACAACAATCATTGTGGTCTACAAATAGATTATAATGTCCTAGAAAAAGTAAAACAACAAAAAACTTTCCCAGGAAAGTACTTGGAAGCAAAACACTGAATAAACAAGATAATAAAAAATATCCATCAATCGCCAGCAAGTGATAAACACTATCAGTTGTCAATGGATAGAAGTTTAATTCCTCATGCATAAATATCCATACCGTGATTATATCAGAGATTCCACGAACACCTTGTCGAAGAATGTCATCGGCAAGGTTGAATGCTTCTGTTACTGGAGTAGATGGGGAAACAGCAGTCAATAATTTATCATTTGGAATGACTATCAGTGTATCAACATTCTCTCTCAAAGCTGCAATTCCTTCTTGAGCTTGTACAGCTCTTCTTCGTCCCTCAAAAGAAAATGGAGTTGTGACTATACCCACGGTCAAGATACCCATTGACTTTGCAATCCCTGCAATTACAGGAGCTCCACCAGTTCCTGTCCCCCCACCCATTCCAGCCTACACATTAATCAAAACCTCAAGATAAGAGAGTGAAATCAGTAGCATTATTAACCATCCAGATTTATATTAGTTGCTCATTAAAGAACGGTCATGTAGGTACATAGCATCAAGTACACTGTGGCATAGACCAAAGAGCTTTTTAAGCATTTAGGCCATGCCTGAGATGTAACATAAACTGATTTCTAAGTTACTGCAATGAATGTTAATTTTACAACTAATACGAAAAGGTCAAGGTAGTGTAGCAGATAGCAGATCACCCTCTGCTTATGGTTATAAATAGGTAAGCGATTATGATACAGATTTAGGTATCTTTGAACAAATTAGAAAAAATATCAAAAAAAGGCAAGTTTCTCAACTCTCTGGTCCAAAATAATGGAAAATGTCAGCACCAATGACAAATCATCTAGATTTTAGGTTAATTAGCCAATATAAATTGTAAAATTTGACAATAAGCCCAGGATAAGTGATGATACTAGAGTTTTATGTTACCAGGACCAGAACTAATTAATCTTGATAATCAAAAGAATCTAAAAGCATATGATTAGCATATAGGATATGTGCTAGTTTGACAACTAGAAACTCAAATAAACAAGAAAAGTTTGAAGGCAAAAAACTAGAATCGAACAGCAAAACCATTTTGTGCAGAAAATCATTTGGTTCAAAGAAGACTAAACTTACAGTAACAAACACCATGTCAGATCCATAAACCGCCTCTTCTATAGCTTCTTTGCTTTCTTTAGCAGCATTCATCCCAATGTCTGGGTTCCCACCAGCACCAAGTCCTCTGGTTAACTCTTGACCAATTTGCAACCGATTCTCAGAGAACACAGGGGACATACTCATGGACTGAATATCAGTGTTAACAATCCAGAATTCCACACCCTTCATTGCACTCTCAATCATACGATTAACTGCATTTGACCCACCACCTCCAACGCCAATAACCATGATCTTGGCCTCATTGTAATTGTTCAAACTTGACAAATCACTTGAACTTTCAGTAACACTTCCGCTCAAGCTGTCCAGTCTTGGGTTGGTCATTGTGGCATATGTCTCGCCTCTTAGCATAGAAATCTCTGGGTGAAGATTCAGAAATGGGTCCTTACCTTGAAATTGATTAACACTGTGAGAGTTGGTCGAACATTTGCACCGAGGAACATTTGAACCACTCTTTTGACTAATACCTAAAAGCCCACTCTTTTCTTTAACAATTTTTACGGGGCCAACTCTTCGTCCAAGAACATTCAGTACCCCCATGGGTCTGCAAGTTTCTGGAGGCATAAAATACTGCGGCGAACACAAAGCCATCACAGGAAAAAAACTCAAATATAATTCGGTTTTAATATGATTATGGATAAAACCAATTGACTATATTTCCAACTTGCTGCTCAAAATTTACTGTCAGCACCTGTCAATTGATTAATAAAAGACCAAATAAACTTCAATTAATGAAAATAAGCCACACAAAAGTAGCAAATCTCCTCCGTATGAAGCCATACTCTCAAATTATGGCATCACTCTATCGAAAGGAATTTCGAGAACTCACAATGACTTGACCAAACCCAGATAAGAATCCCTCTCAAGTCCCTTAAAATAATGCATTATGTAGCATAGAAATATCAGTTAAATACTTAAATGTCATACCAACTAGGAACCCCGTCCCCAAAGAGAACAATGGAAAAGAAATAAATTATAACATTCAATAGGTAAATCAAAAGCATGAAGTTGATTCGCAACGAAAAATAACCTGGTGGTCTTTACCAAGAACACCTCCTCTGACAACGCAATTAGCTAAGAAATTCAAAAAGAAGAAGAGACTACAGTAAAGACGTGTATGGCGAATTATGAACGGGTTATATTTGTACAATTTCGAGCATTAATTAAAGTGCACACGAGCGGCGAGCCTCATTCAGTACCTTGAGCTCGCTTTCATCTCACATGGCATTTCTTGTTTTATATTTTTGATTATTTATTTTGTGTTTGTAAGATATGACATGTATGTGCCCACCTACTGTTCTGGGCAGGGCAGGGCATAAAGGAACCAAAGTAAAAGAGGGGGGAAAATGAAGTGGAAATTACGTCCAACCATACTTTTAAGATTCAATTTAAAAGATCAGATTTAAAATTTATTTATATAAAAATAAGATATTAATAATATTCAATATCCTCTATCTTCTCACTCTAAACTATACCCACCCAAACCCTAAAAATCCAGAAAACCACAAATCACAATCCACTTTTTTCTTCTCTCTCCGACGATTCCGATAGTAACACTCGGTGCACTGCCGTGCACAACCCGATGTAGATCCATTCTTCCTCTTTCCCTCTTTTATATTTTTGAGTGATGTCGTGATTGAATGTTCAATGGTGGTACTGTGGTATTATGGTGTGTTGGTTTTGCGATTGTAGTGGTTATATTATTGGGTTCAATGGATGCATGGTTGGGTGTCGTGGTGGGGCGGTGTTGTGGTGTGTGTGCAGTGGTGTTGAGGCTTGGTAGTGGCTCTGGCGATAGTTTCATGGTTATTGTAGTGGTGATGTGGTTATTGTGGCGGGTTGTGTGTGGTGGTGGTGTGGTTGATGTGGCGATAATGGTAGTGGTGGTGGTGGTGGTTATTGTTGATATAAGCAGTGGTGGTAGTGTCCGGCAGTAGATTTAGAGCTAAAATTGATATGCTATAGAATAATTTTCATTACTTATTTAGGTCACTTTGGATTACTTAGTATAGATGTCTTCATGTACCATCTGCATTGCACATACTATGAATTTGCTAGTGGGACTCTATCGCATGTGTGAGATTTGGGATGACTATCACATATTAATTGGGTGACTTCAAACATGAATTGACCTAATTTAGTAGACCTAAACCCAAAAATATTCCCCTAAATAAAAGCTCGTTATCTTAATGTTCTTCTTCAAGGCCTATTTCACTTGAGCAATTAAACCTGCGGGATCTCTTAAAATATGATGTCTATGGTCAACTGACTTGAGTTAATAGACCTAAACCTCGTTACAGGGGTCATCTCAGTTGCTTAATGGAAAAGACCCTGTACTTAAGATGTAAAATATATGAGCTTGAAAAATATGAAAAATGTGAAAAATGTTATGAGCTAAAAAATATGGAAAACTGAAAAATATAAATGCGCAAAATCAGGGGGAGAAAATAAAAATAATAAGTATAGGTCCTACTATACTCTCGAGGTTTGACTTTCATCAGTAGAATGATATACTTATTGGCAGTGATTGTCATGTCCTTTCTCATAAAATTAAGATTTGGAGTTATACTTGCATTGGATTAGTGACACTTTACACACATGAGTCACTTATATTATTTACTCCATTCTGATCTGAACTGAGTATGTAGGAAGATTTATAGTATATTGATTTTACTTGTGCACGCTATCAACTGCATTTTTAAGTTAAATTTGTTAGTATTCCCTTCAACATTTGTGATAAAAAAATGGGAGAAAAATGTGTAACTGAGGGGGAGAAAATAAGAGCATGGAGCGATTTTGCATTTGCATGTGCACTGATTTCATTGATTAATTGACATTTTGCATTTTACATCATTGCTATATCATGGGTCGTTAGAGTGAGACATAGATACATTGTATTACTACATAAAATTCATATGTATAAAATTCATGAGAGTTTGCAGTAAGAGGGAGCATTGCATTGCATTTTATATCACATCCATTATGTTTGAGTTTTGATGTTTACTGAGGTTGGTGTTTTGATTGACATCATTGTCACGTCTCAAACTGGCATGTTGATTTGTGGTTAAGTGATTTAATTTTTGTATTTCCTGTATCAAGTGCTTTTACACTGGGTATATGATTTTTTGGATTTCAGGAAACAGGTACAACAAAAGGAATGCAAGACTCAGTGCTAGGGTATATTGGGTAGAATAGGTTTTCATTTTTTAGTCTTGACGTTGTTTGAATAGTTTTGTCAAAGAATGTCAAAGGGGGAGTTTGTTATGTTTTATATTGTAATTGGCAATTTAGTGAACAAAAGGGACTTAATTGAACATGTTGTAAAATTTAGGGACTTGGGCTGCAACTTGTATAGATGGTTTAGGCTACGATTGAGTTTGGAACAAGGTGGAAGACTTGCCGATTTTTCGCTAGCTGCTCGCCAAGTTGTTGCTTGAGCGGAGGAAGCAGAACCATCGTCGCCTGTTTTTCACCCAGGCGTCGCTCGCTTCTCGCTCGACATTGCTTAAGCGACAGTGTTATGCGGCCAAACCCTAGGTCGCGTGTTGGAGAATTTTGTACAAATATGGATTGAAGCGCAATTACAAGCACAAGAACAAACGATTCTTAGTAAGTACAAGTTGAGGAATTGCTGTGTATTCCCTGAAAGGTCTATAGTGGAGATAACTGGTTTGTTTTCGGAATTTTTCCAACGTTGGGTTTTTTCGTCATTAAAATTTTGTTTTTATTGCTTTCCATAATTTATCACAATTGCGGTATTCAAACTTAGGGGAAAATGGACTTGTATGCTAAACCATAGAAACTAATACAAGTGACGTGATTGCTTTAATTAGTAATTTTCGCATGTAAGGTCAAACAAATTGGTAATCTGGAACGTAAACTCGATAACTTTAAAAGTCGAAGTAGGCATTAGAGCATTCCAAATTTCTCATAGTGGTGTTTGGTTGCGGTGTTTGAGATGATGGTATTGCTACTGAGAGGTGGTGGTGGTGGTTCTGGTGATGATGGTTTCGATGGTGATGTGGTTGGTGGTAGTGGTAAGATGGTGGTCACAAATGATTTAATTGTTTGTGACCAATAAATTAGTTAATATGTAACAATGAAATAGATAAATTATGACCAACAAATAATGTGTAACCTAAAATTTCGTTAATTTGTGGCCAATAATTTGATAATTTGTAACTAAAAATTAATTTGATATTTTGTGGTCGTGAAATAAGTTGACTTATAAAATTTGTAATCAAGGAATAATATGTGGCCTACTAATTTGATAAATTTGTGACCATAAAATAATTTATGACATATAAAATCTTTAATTGTGATTGATAAATTATTTGCAATTAATTAATTCAATAATTTGTGAGTAAATTGTATAGACTTGTGACCTTATATTTAATTTATAAAATATATATTTGATTAATTATTTTAGAAATAAAATTTAATGAATATCTGATTTTTTGAAGTTTTAAACATTTTATCTTAATTTTGAAATGAGTTATAGTTAAACTCTTGATTGAGCCTCATATTCTGGGGATAATGTTATCTGATTTTTGAAGTTTTAAACATTTTATCTTAATTTTGAAATGAGTTATAGTTAAACTCCTGATTCAGCCTCATATTTTGGAGATAATGTATATTGAAATGGTGATTTTTTGAAAAATGTGTGGTTAAAAAATATGTAAATTTTTTTAGTTTATATGTAAAATTATTTAATGAGAGAATATGTGGTTGAAAATTAGTTTTGAAAAAACTGAATTTGAAAATAATGGGACGCAAATAGAGGCTAGATTACATCTTCGATATCAACCAAGGATGACATCCCCTAGGTAGAAGGAGTCTAGACAATAATGAGATAGATGTGTTTAAAATCAGTGGTATAGATTGCTGTCACATGAAAGAGTATCAAATTTGTTGTCAAGCACGATGTACATATAGCATGATTAGGAGAAATTACATTTTGAAAATTATACCACAACTGATAATTAAATATGACAATTCTAAAATCAGGTATAAAGTTTACTTGAACATAAATCAGGTGATAATCAATCAATAATAAAATTAATTATCTCTCAACTATATCTTTCTCTACTCTCACTCTAATCTCTCCCTATCTCCAATAATCCTGTGAATCTATACATCCAGGTTTCCACTCTCCAATTTCTCCAATGACGATGAAGATGTGGTGGAATAAACAAGGTAGACACCACTTCGGAGGTAGTTTGTAGGCAACGGTGGAAGGGAAAGATAGAGATTCAATGAATCGAGAAGCCGTGCAGGTTTCGGAGCTTGCAGACCGTGCAGAATAATTGGACCTTTTCGACATCAAATAGAAGAAAAGGCATGTCGGCAACAATTGAAGGCATGCCGATATCAATACAAGTTCTGGAATTCGTACCCATATTGTACGTGAATAGAGGCAATCATCTCCCATTCAATTGACGATTCCTGCATCATTCAATCTAAAATTTACATGGGAAAATCAAATTTGCATTCAGACAATAGTGGATACACATTTAATCGATCCAATTGCTGTTCAATTACCTCAAAATTCGATCCTCAAAATGGCGACTCGGCTGATTTTGTCAATTGCAATTGGTGGCTAAAAATGGTAGGATAGTTCTAGTAATTGTATTTTTGGGTTACATGATCGACACAATCCGTGCTCTGTGAATTTGAGGTGGTGATGACATCGGGCTTAGGATTTTTTGTTGGGTGGTGGTTGTGGTTGTAGTGTGTGGAGATGGAGGTCATAATTGTTGCTGGTTATGGTAAGGTGTTCATTTCTGTCCTCTTCTGATATAAGGTAGTGGAAGTGGCAAGTTTAGGAATTTTTTTTATTTTTATTTTTTTTTGTTGGGGATAGTTGTGGTGGAGATGGAGGTTGTGATTTTTGTCGTTATTTTATGGTGGTTTTGGAGGTGGGTTCATGGTGGGTTTTGAGGTGATGGTAGTGCTGGTGATGGTGTAGGTGGTGGTTGTGGTGTTGGGTTTGGATTGGGTTGGGGCTATATAAATACAGTTTGTGTCCAATAAATTGGGCTAATCTATAACCAATAAATAATTCGCAACCAATAAAATAGATAGTTTATGATATTTGTGCAATGGTCTGTGACTTGTGCACAATGACATGTGACGTGAATTGATAACATGTCATATGTTTTTGCGCACTTGTTATGGGTTACATATCAATGTTCACAGGTAACAAATCAAATAGAATTTGTCACATATCACTGATTTATATTCATATGTCAATATTGATTGGTCAATTGTTATTGTTCATAGGACACAGGTCATATAGTATAGGCCACTGATGTTCATTGATTACATGTTATAATTCACAGTTCATACTGTATAGGTTGTATATTTTCATAGATCACATGTCAATATTAATAATCATTGGTTATAGCTCATAGGTCACATGTTATAGTTCATAGTCATATGTCACCATTCACATATCACAGGTTATATTGTATAGGTTACGAATGTTCGCAAATCACTAATTATAGTTCACATGTCAATATTAATTAGTCATATCTTATAGTTCACATATTACCTTTATCGGTAACAGATCATTGTCTACATGTTACAAATCCAAAAGAATTGGTCATAAGCTTGGAAAAATATCGTAGGCAATAGATCTATGTAAATTCAAGAGAACTAGCCATATATCCTTGATTTCTCTTAACTGAAATTGAAGTTATTTGTTACGGTGAGTACTCTGTAAATTTCACTAGGTGCTATTTTTCAATTCAATTTTAAAAAAATAGTTTTAAATTATGCCAGTACTGTTGAGTCGTCGCTAAAGAATGATCAATCAATTTTTATTTTTATTTTTACAATTGCCATGTTTCTCTTTCTTCTCTACTATCTGAGCTGACTATGTCTATTCACCGTTGAGCGATAATCAATTCACCGCTGAAGAAGTCAATGGTGGGATGGATGTCCACGGGTGAATGATGAAGACTGTAAGAGGGGATGACAGCGGACGGGTATGCAATGTGGGCACACGGTGGAGGTGAATATGGTTAGACTAATTTAATTTGACAATATTATTATTTAAAATTAAAATATTTCCCTGATACATAACTACTTACTTTTAAATATATATTTCAAATATGACAATTTTATAGAATTTTTTCAAAAATCAAGGGACACTAATTAAATAGATAATTAAATAAGTTAATTTTATAATAACATACAGTTTATGGTCACAGAAAGTTACAATCACAAATTACAAATTTTATATGTCACAACTTATTTATCAATTACAAATGATCAAATTAGATAATCGAGCCCTATTTCTAGAACTAATTAATCTTGATAATCAAAAGAATCTAAAAGCATATGATTAGCATATAGGATATGTGCTAGTTTGACAACTAGAAACTCAAATAAACAAGAAAAGTTTGAAGGCAAAAAACTAGAATCGAACAGCAAAACCATTTTGTGCAGAAAATCATTTGGTTCAAAGAAGACTAAACTTACAGTAACAAACACCATGTCAGATCCATAAACCGCCTCTTCTATAGCTTCTTTGCTTTCTTTAGCAGCATTCATCCCAATGTCTGGGTTCCCACCAGCACCAAGTCCTCTGGTTAACTCTTGACCAATTTGCAACCGATTCTCAGAGAACACAGGGGACATACTCATGGACTGAATATCAGTGTTAACAATCCAGAATTCCACACCCTTCATTGCACTCTCAATCATACGATTAACTGCATTTGACCCACCACCTCCAACGCCAATAACCATGATCTTGGCCTCATTGTAATTGTTCAAACTTGACAAATCACTTGAACTTTCAGTAACACTTCCGCTCAAGCTGTCCAGTCTTGGGTTGGTCATTGTGGCATATGTCTCGCCTCTTAGCATAGAAATCTCTGGGTGAAGATTCAGAAATGGGTCCTTACCTTGAAATTGATTAACACTGTGAGAGTTGGTCGAACATTTGCACCGAGGAACATTTGAACCACTCTTTTGACTAATACCTAAAAGCCCACTCTTTTCTTTAACAATTTTTACGGGGCCAACTCTTCGTCCAAGAACATTCAGTACCCCCATGGGTCTGCAAGTTTCTGGAGGCATAAAATACTGCGGCGAACACAAAGCCATCACAGGAAAAAAACTCAAATATAATTCGGTTTTAATATGATTATGGATAAAACCAATTGACTATATTTCCAACTTGCTGCTCAAAATTTACTGTCAGCACCTGTCAATTGATTAATAAAAGACCAAATAAACTTCAATTAATGAAAATAAGCCACACAAAAGTAGCAAATCTCCTCCGTATGAAGCCATACTCTCAAATTATGGCATCACTCTATCGAAAGGAATTTCGAGAACTCACAATGACTTGACCAAACCCAGATAAGAATCCCTCTCAAGTCCCTTAAAATAATGCATTATGTAGCATAGAAATATCAGTTAAATACTTAAATGTCATACCAACTAGGAACCCCGTCCCCAAAGAGAACAATGGAAAAGAAATAAATTATAACATTCAATAGGTAAATCAAAAGCATGAAGTTGATTCGCAACGAAAAATAACCTGGTGGTCTTTACCAAGAACACCTCCTCTGACAACGCAATTAGCTAAGAAATTCAAAAAGAAGAAGAGACTACAGTAAAGACGTGTATGGCGAATTATGAACGGGTTATATTTGTACAATTTCGAGCATTAATTAAAGTGCACACGAGCGGCGAGCCTCATTCAGTACCTTGAGCTCGCTTTCATCTCACATGGCATTTCTTGTTTTATATTTTTGATTATTTATTTTGTGTTTGTAAGATATGACATGTATGTGCCCACCTACTGTTCTGGGCAGGGCAGGGCATAAAGGAACCAAAGTAAAAGAGGGGGGAAAATGAAGTGGAAATTACGTCCAACCATACTTTTAAGATTCAATTTAAAAGATCAGATTTAAAATTTATTTATATAAAAATAAGATATTAATAATATTCAATATCCTCTATCTTCTCACTCTAAACTATACCCACCCAAACCCTAAAAATCCAGAAAACCACAAATCACAATCCACTTTTTTCTTCTCTCTCCGACGATTCCGATAGTAACACTCGGTGCACTGCCGTGCACAACCCGATGTAGATCCATTCTTCCTCTTTCCCTCTTTTATATTTTTGAGTGATGTCGTGATTGAATGTTCAATGGTGGTACTGTGGTATTATGGTGTGTTGGTTTTGCGATTGTAGTGGTTATATTATTGGGTTCAATGGATGCATGGTTGGGTGTCGTGGTGGGGCGGTGTTGTGGTGTGTGTGCAGTGGTGTTGAGGCTTGGTAGTGGCTCTGGCGATAGTTTCATGGTTATTGTAGTGGTGATGTGGTTATTGTGGCGGGTTGTGTGTGGTGGTGGTGTGGTTGATGTGGCGATAATGGTAGTGGTGGTGGTGGTGGTTATTGTTGATATAAGCAGTGGTGGTAGTGTCCGGCAGTAGATTTAGAGCTAAAATTGATATGCTATAGAATAATTTTCATTACTTATTTAGGTCACTTTGGATTACTTAGTATAGATGTCTTCATGTACCATCTGCATTGCACATACTATGAATTTGCTAGTGGGACTCTATCGCATGTGTGAGATTTGGGATGACTATCACATATTAATTGGGTGACTTCAAACATGAATTGACCTAATTTAGTAGACCTAAACCCAAAAATATTCCCCTAAATAAAAGCTCGTTATCTTAATGTTCTTCTTCAAGGCCTATTTCACTTGAGCAATTAAACCTGCGGGATCTCTTAAAATATGATGTCTATGGTCAACTGACTTGAGTTAATAGACCTAAACCTCGTTACAGGGGTCATCTCAGTTGCTTAATGGAAAAGACCCTGTACTTAAGATGTAAAATATATGAGCTTGAAAAATATGAAAAATGTGAAAAATGTTATGAGCTAAAAAATATGGAAAACTGAAAAATATAAATGCGCAAAATCAGGGGGAGAAAATAAAAATAATAAGTATAGGTCCTACTATACTCTCGAGGTTTGACTTTCATCAGTAGAATGATATACTTATTGGCAGTGATTGTCATGTCCTTTCTCATAAAATTAAGATTTGGAGTTATACTTGCATTGGATTAGTGACACTTTACACACATGAGTCACTTATATTATTTACTCCATTCTGATCTGAACTGAGTATGTAGGAAGATTTATAGTATATTGATTTTACTTGTGCACGCTATCAACTGCATTTTTAAGTTAAATTTGTTAGTATTCCCTTCAACATTTGTGATAAAAAAATGGGAGAAAAATGTGTAACTGAGGGGGAGAAAATAAGAGCATGGAGCGATTTTGCATTTGCATGTGCACTGATTTCATTGATTAATTGACATTTTGCATTTTACATCATTGCTATATCATGGGTCGTTAGAGTGAGACATAGATACATTGTATTACTACATAAAATTCATATGTATAAAATTCATGAGAGTTTGCAGTAAGAGGGAGCATTGCATTGCATTTTATATCACATCCATTATGTTTGAGTTTTGATGTTTACTGAGGTTGGTGTTTTGATTGACATCATTGTCACGTCTCAAACTGGCATGTTGATTTGTGGTTAAGTGATTTAATTTTTGTATTTCCTGTATCAAGTGCTTTTACACTGGGTATATGATTTTTTGGATTTCAGGAAACAGGTACAACAAAAGGAATGCAAGACTCAGTGCTAGGGTATATTGGGTAGAATAGGTTTTCATTTTTTAGTCTTGACGTTGTTTGAATAGTTTTGTCAAAGAATGTCAAAGGGGGAGTTTGTTATGTTTTATATTGTAATTGGCAATTTAGTGAACAAAAGGGACTTAATTGAACATGTTGTAAAATTTAGGGACTTGGGCTGCAACTTGTATAGATGGTTTAGGCTACGATTGAGTTTGGAACAAGGTGGAAGACTTGCCGATTTTTCGCTAGCTGCTCGCCAAGTTGTTGCTTGAGCGGAGGAAGCAGAACCATCGTCGCCTGTTTTTCACCCAGGCGTCGCTCGCTTCTCGCTCGACATTGCTTAAGCGACAGTGTTATGCGGCCAAACCCTAGGTCGCGTGTTGGAGAATTTTGTACAAATATGGATTGAAGCGCAATTACAAGCACAAGAACAAACGATTCTTAGTAAGTACAAGTTGAGGAATTGCTGTGTATTCCCTGAAAGGTCTATAGTGGAGATAACTGGTTTGTTTTCGGAATTTTTCCAACGTTGGGTTTTTTCGTCATTAAAATTTTGTTTTTATTGCTTTCCATAATTTATCACAATTGCGGTATTCAAACTTAGGGGAAAATGGACTTGTATGCTAAACCATAGAAACTAATACAAGTGACGTGATTGCTTTAATTAGTAATTTTCGCATGTAAGGTCAAACAAATTGGTAATCTGGAACGTAAACTCGATAACTTTAAAAGTCGAAGTAGGCATTAGAGCATTCCAAATTTCTCATAGTGGTGTTTGGTTGCGGTGTTTGAGATGATGGTATTGCTACTGAGAGGTGGTGGTGGTGGTTCTGGTGATGATGGTTTCGATGGTGATGTGGTTGGTGGTAGTGGTAAGATGGTGGTCACAAATGATTTAATTGTTTGTGACCAATAAATTAGTTAATATGTAACAATGAAATAGATAAATTATGACCAACAAATAATGTGTAACCTAAAATTTCGTTAATTTGTGGCCAATAATTTGATAATTTGTAACTAAAAATTAATTTGATATTTTGTGGTCGTGAAATAAGTTGACTTATAAAATTTGTAATCAAGGAATAATATGTGGCCTACTAATTTGATAAATTTGTGACCATAAAATAATTTATGACATATAAAATCTTTAATTGTGATTGATAAATTATTTGCAATTAATTAATTCAATAATTTGTGAGTAAATTGTATAGACTTGTGACCTTATATTTAATTTATAAAATATATATTTGATTAATTATTTTAGAAATAAAATTTAATGAATATCTGATTTTTTGAAGTTTTAAACATTTTATCTTAATTTTGAAATGAGTTATAGTTAAACTCTTGATTGAGCCTCATATTCTGGGGATAATGTTATCTGATTTTTGAAGTTTTAAACATTTTATCTTAATTTTGAAATGAGTTATAGTTAAACTCTTGATTGAGCCTCATATTCTGGGGATAATGTTATCTGATTTTTGAAGTTTTAAACATTTTATCTTAATTTTGAAATGAGTTATAGTTAAACTCTTGATTGAGCCTCATATTCTGGGGATAATGTTATCTGATTTTTGAAGTTTTAAACATTTTATCTTAATTTTGAAATGAGTTATAGTTAAACTCCTGATTCAGCCTCATATTTTGGAGATAATGTATATTGAAATGGTGATTTTTTGAAAAATGTGTGGTTAAAAAATATGTAAATTTTTTTAGTTTATATGTAAAATTATTTAATGAGAGAATATGTGGTTGAAAATTAGTTTTGAAAAAACTGAATTTGAAAATAATGGGACGCAAATAGAGGCTAGATTACATCTTCGATATCAACCAAGGATGACATCCCCTAGGTAGAAGGAGTCTAGACAATAATGAGATAGATGTGTTTAAAATCAGTGGTATAGATTGCTGTCACATGAAAGAGTATCAAATTTGTTGTCAAGCACGATGTACATATAGCATGATTAGGAGAAATTACATTTTGAAAATTATACCACAACTGATAATTAAATATGACAATTCTAAAATCAGGTATAAAGTTTACTTGAACATAAATCAGGTGATAATCAATCAATAATAAAATTAATTATCTCTCAACTATATCTTTCTCTACTCTCACTCTAATCTCTCCCTATCTCCAATAATCCTGTGAATCTATACATCCAGGTTTCCACTCTCCAATTTCTCCAATGACGATGAAGATGTGGTGGAATAAACAAGGTAGACACCACTTCGGAGGTAGTTTGTAGGCAACGGTGGAAGGGAAAGATAGAGATTCAATGAATCGAGAAGCCGTGCAGGTTTCGGAGCTTGCAGACCGTGCAGAATAATTGGACCTTTTCGACATCAAATAGAAGAAAAGGCATGTCGGCAACAATTGAAGGCATGCCGATATCAATACAAGTTCTGGAATTCGTACCCATATTGTACGTGAATAGAGGCAATCATCTCCCATTCAATTGACGATTCCTGCATCATTCAATCTAAAATTTACATGGGAAAATCAAATTTGCATTCAGACAATAGTGGATACACATTTAATCGATCCAATTGCTGTTCAATTACCTCAAAATTCGATCCTCAAAATGGCGACTCGGCTGATTTTGTCAATTGCAATTGGTGGCTAAAAATGGTAGGATAGTTCTAGTAATTGTATTTTTGGGTTACATGATCGACACAATCCGTGCTCTGTGAATTTGAGGTGGTGATGACATCGGGCTTAGGATTTTTTGTTGGGTGGTGGTTGTGGTTGTAGTGTGTGGAGATGGAGGTCATAATTGTTGCTGGTTTGCTGTTCAATTACCTCAAAATTCGATCCTCAAAATGGCGACTCGGCTGATTTTGTCAATTGCAATTGGTGGCTAAAAATGGTAGGATAGTTCTAGTAATTGTATTTTTGGGTTACATGATCGACACAATCCGTGCTCTGTGAATTTGAGGTGGTGATGACATCGGGCTTAGGATTTTTTGTTGGGTGGTGGTTGTGGTTGTAGTGTGTGGAGATGGAGGTCATAATTGTTGCTGGTTATGGTAAGGTGTTCATTTCTGTCCTCTTCTGATATAAGGTAGTGGA